GACTTTGATATAGTCCATATATATTGATCTTTGAGTTTGGGCCAGTATAGGCAGACTGGCTTCGGCACTTCGTGTGCATGGTGAAATCTCTAGTCATGGGGTAGCTACTGTCGACTGGTCACATAACCCGCCTCTCTGTCGATGTTCCTTATTCCGTTGAAAGGGTGTGACCGTGTAAACAACTCTAAACTGCCTGTTGACAGTAGTCTATCTAAACCTTACCGATGGGTTTGGTTTCTTTGCTCAGGAGGGTTGGGGCCTCTGGCTTCTCTCTCTATGTCTCTGCGGGCAGGGCGTATCACACTTTTGTAGCTGGGTGACTCCTAGAGCAGCAAGGGTGGCTGACTCCGTTGGTCATTTCCTTGTCGGTGACGGCCGGAAGGTGTTTGAGCTGGTAGCGCATCCGCGTTAAACAAAGAGGTTCCCCCTAACTCATTTAAGTTGGTGCATTTCTCACATAGTGTGAGTACCGTGAACTTTTTTCTGGAGTTGTTTCCTTGGCGGTATTCTAGACTCGAGTATGCATCGACGAGGACGTCGATCTTCCCAAGGGGGGGAGAGTGTCGCGAATGTGACTTCGGGTATCGAAAGTTACCTGTCGACCAGTCCTTACGAACACTCTTACCTTACTGCCACGACGGCAGGAGGTCGGTATTGCTGGACCCTTTATCAGTCCCTCTTGTGCTAGTGGAGTTAACTGGGCATTTCGAGTGTACTTAGACCGGACGAGCATAAGGACGGAATTCCTACGTGTTATTAGCTAAGCATACTTAGCCCGGTAAGGAGTTCCCGTCTCGTTATGTCTTGCACTGGCTAGTGACAAGAACCCTCGTGTATTGAGATTGGTCCCTCAATATCGCTACATGATAGCTTACCGTGTCTGCCAAACACCCTCGCTATCATGCCCTTTGTGTTAGTCTCATTTCGGTCCCAAATGCTATTTATGGAAAGTGTCCAGATTTGCTCATTTGGTATATCTACAGAATGTAGAGATCGGCCTGAACACAATGGTGTTCGTCCTGTGTCCAAATTCACAATCTAAGGATATTCCATATTTAGTAAGTTTTGAGCTTGTCCCAGAGACTAACTCCAGATACTAAGGGAGGCTTGGGGTGAAAGCCCAAAGCGTGTGTTCCTCAAGGGGGGGGGGGGGGCTATGGGGGGTTCTAAATGTATAGTAGGGATAGTGGGTAGGTCGGGCATGGCCGACCAACCTGAGGCATAGTCTAGCTCCCGCTTGCGTGCCTGTCCTTGTTCTGCGTCCGGCTTGGGTCTAAGCCCAAGTTCCATTCCATGCTAGCTAGTGGAGTACCCATATCCTCACGTTAGGCCACCGGTATGCCCAAATAGCGCCAAACTCCGTTTGGCTCCCTTTTGCGTGCTGGTCCTGGCATTGGGATGCTGGTTGCTTCAGGACTGTTCCAAGTCGCTCCGGGCCCCTGTCCCTTCCCTCCTTGGGCTTTATGCTCGGGAGTTACTCCGTGGTTCGGTTCCATCACTCCTTGGCTCCATGCTTGGGAGTTTGGCACCGTTCGTTCGTTCAGTGGCTCAAGGCCCTGAACCTCGGGTTCCTATGGACACGTGGCATGTGACACGTGGCATCTGTCACGTGCCACAAAGAGGGTTTAGGTTCCGTTTCGTGGTGTTATCCTATGGTAAATCACCATAGGATAAAGGGTCAAAACCACGTGCGCTACACATATACACTCATCCTCACTCCATCATCAAAGTTGGACTCTCGTCCGTCCCCTCTACCCCCTCCTCTGAAGAAAAAAAAGTTGGAAGTGTCGAGGCAAAAAAGAGAAAATGAGAAAAATCAAGGAAAAACAAGTGTGGAAGAAGAAAAAGTGGATAAAGAAGCAACAAAAGAGGAATTTATAACAACTAGCTTTATAGAAGTGGGGAAATCAAAAGAACATGTGTTTAAAGCTTGGAAAATAAAGGACTTCCTACCATTCATATAAAATACTTTAGCCAACACAATATAAGAAAAAGATTCACACTGCTCAACCTCCTTAACACACAACTTAACATTTGAGATGGGAAAATCAATAACAACATCCACTTTTAAAGGAATATATAAATTCCTCAGCAGTAACAGTAAAACAAAGGCTTTTAGTGGCACTTACAAGTGGGGACATGCATTTAACCCAAAACTCTGGCCAAAGTGACTTAACCTTTGGAACAAGGGAATACTTAACACCAAAACTGATTAAAATCTTCCCGGCCAACTGACGGAACTGTAC